AAAGAGAAAGACGTGCGCTTTAGAGAGTCGACAAAACGAAGGTCGGGGGCCGAAAAGCGCACTGGCAAGATTGTGAACGCAAGGTGAGCCGGAAAGGCAGGTCGAAGTAAGGATCTTCCAAATTAACCGTAGCAGGTAGCTCTCAGCCCTATCAACAATAGGCCCCCTGGCCTGTTCCCAGGGGCACGAAGAGACGAATAACGGACTTAAGCACTATACGGGCCTACTACCAGAATGCTGTGCCACAGGTACCACACCCTTCTCGTATAGTGTTACTGTCACAACGCCAAATGAGAACCCATCATCCGTAAGGTTGACCACTTAGAGCAGAGGCGCTGAGTAATCGGGAGTCAGCTCCAAGCCTAATCGCATCTTAAAGTTGTGGCCGGGGGGGCCCCTGGAGATTGCTAAACGCATACGGCTTCAGCTCCGCCTTGGAAAAATGCATAAAATTGGAAATATCTGGGCTATGCTTTGATTGACTCTCCCCCCATTTCAAAGTGATCGCAGTTCGTCCCAAACAACTTTAAAACGTCCCGAGATACGCGACACATGGCGATACGTGACGCAATATAACTTCGAGAAAGTGCTTTAAGCTTCTCAGAAATATCTTACTAACGCGAGTAAAAGTTTTGCCCACGCAGCTTGTGATCACTTGACAGATTTATTGAGTGCTGACCCGCGTGGAAATTACCGTAGCATTACTACTGCAGGTGCTTTCAGATGAAATATTGGAGGTGTGGAGCGATTTTCCTCCGAGAGCCCTGGTCTGTCGGCCGTTGTCAGCATATTTGCATGCATAGCCGTCGGGGCTGAATAAGTAATTTGGGGGCGTCAAACCCTGATGCAAAAACCACGCCACAAACGGGCCACCACCACACCTTTTCTGATCACGTGGAGAAGTAGGGCTTTGTGCATTTACGATAGCTCCCAGGTCAATTGGAGAGCTTTTAGAGGCGCAGCGTGATGCTATCTGGGGTCACAAATCACTTCTTGAGGATGGAAAGATTTTTTATCGAGATATTTCCGAAAACAATATCATTATCACAAAAGCTACGACTCAGGGAGCCTCAAAAAGGATGTTGAATAGTCTGCCGAGTGGAGCGAGTCACCGGATTGGCACTATGCAATTTATGGCAATCGAGGTGCTTTAAGGAAAAGGCTAAATATATCAGCACGATCTAGAGTCACGGTTCTACGTCCTCATATGGATGTGCATTGTCTCGTAATTAGGTGGTATTGGTGGAAAATGCACCGAGACATTGTTCAATGTTGAAATGAGGCCTCACGCTCGATTGAGCCTCGGCTCATACGAAGTAAAAAGGGGAAAGGGGACTTTGCCGATCTTGATCCCACATTCCCCAAACTTGCTTTTGTCCCAAAGGCGGGGAAGCTGCGCCGCGCCTGTTGCTCCATGGCTGCCATCTCCAGTAGGACCATGCTCTCCCTGACTTGCGTTGACCGGCCTATGTTGTTGTCTTCACATAAAATTACTACCTGCACGATCAGTCATGTCCCACTCGACCGAGATGGCGATAATCACAGTGGAGATCAAGAGCCAAGTAAAGTCGTGTAAGTGGCGTGTTTGAGTTCGTGATAAGGTACTTTGCGATTCCAACGTCCAAGCCACTTTTGACCAATTGAAGTGCCTGAGGAAGTTTAACTCAAGGCTCATATGCTCGCAGGTGCTGTTCCTGCCGGCGACGAAAAGTCAAGTGCGACCGACAACGTCCAAGCTGTGGATTTTGTGTACAGATTGGCACAATTTGCGCGTATGTATCAAGTGAAAAGAAGAGAGGGCTACGAGCAGGATATATCTCGGCACTGGAAAGTCGGTTAGGCAGGAGCCATCGGCATCACTAGTGAATTAGCAAACGAATTCTAAGAGTTGCGACACAACAGAGAGGCTCGAAGAGGAGGTAAAGATTCTCAAAGCACAGCAGGCTGGTAAGACCCTCCAATCTTCTCCAGTACTTCGTAAACGGCTGAGTGGGCTCTAGTAGTAATAGAGAGGCTACCATCAGGCTCGCCACGGACGGATAGAGCATACTCACACTCATCCCCGCAGTGGCAAGGTGGATCTCCCAAATGGCATGGTGACGAGCCTTTGACAACCACCAAGCCAGATCTATCGTCGTTGTCTCGAGCAACACTCTCTGACCTTTGCGACGCGTGGTTCGAGAAGTACCACCCCTGGTTTCCAATTCTCCACAAGCTCTCGATTCTTGTAGTCATCCAGAACTCGACGCGCCTAGTGGATTCGTCGTTATCGATTGTCCTCAAAGCTGTAATAGCGGTCACTTTACCGCATCGGTCTTTGTCAAATCCATTGTCCGCCGTCCAGCGCGAGCAGATCTACACCCATTTTCGCAGCCAGGTCATTATGGAGGCAATTGGAAATTTGTCTCTTCAGTCTCTTCAAGCGGTCCTGATCACAACAATCCTCGACTATGGCGCTGGAAAATTATCCGAGTTCTGGAACCTCGTCGCTCTATGCAAGAAGTAAGCGATTTTCTTATCGAGATCATCCTCCTTCTGGAGACTTACCTGGTCAGGATGGGAACACAACTAGGACTGCGAGATCTGGTGGCAAATAAGGGCGATAACTTCAACAAGCTGTCAACCATTCCGCCTCGCATGCTGTCAATGCCGACCACGCTGTCAATGCCGACCACGCTGATCGAGTAAGAAGAAATGATCCGAGCATACTGGATGACGGAAGCACTCGACAGTATCTCGTCCTTGGGAGCTGGTTGGAATCTAAATCTCTCCCGACCAGAGAATGAAGTGGCCTTCCCATGCGATGAAACAGTATGGGCTTTCCCGGAGAATGCAACAGCGTTCTCTAATTTTGATAACATCGAAATGTCGTCGGCTTTCTCTCTGTACCTGAACTTGGTGACGCAGCAAGTATATCAGGTTCACGTCTTCTTGCAGCGGTCTTTTGACGTTGCATCGGCTATCGATCGTGAGGAGGCAAGCGCAGTGCACTTTTGTGGATGACGGTCTCATCAAGTGGAGACACTCTGCTGCGACGACACGGACGCTGAGCCAGCAGTGTTCGGCGTCAGACTCCACCATTGTCATGATAACAGTGACTTATGATACGTAAGTCGGTCGGGATTCGATACCATATTAGTTGACTGACGATGCACAGCGCGGTGGTTGACCTGTATCAGAGGCTGGCACTGCCGCCCGAAGGCTTAGGAAAGGTTCATGGCCCGTGATATCACGCCATTCAAAGATGCATCAGTGCTTGCGACGACATGAGCATGGTCCTCCGAGCGCGCAGCGATGCTGATCTAGAGAGCATGAGCCCGCACCTGATATTCTGCATCTTCATAACAGCAAGATTCTATATTGGTAACTAAGGCTACAAATCTTAGGGATCTCTGCTAGAGTGATTGAAGTCCATTCAAAAGTGTTGTCAGTCGAGATCCCGAGAAGTGTTGATCTGTTGGTGTACGCTATGAAGACATGTAGTCAATGGTGGTACCTTGCTAGTAAGCATTACTGTTGAATCTGAGGAAGTTTAGCCTTTGCTAATGGATATCTAGAGCGATTGGGGAAGGTACTACGACATGCTATTGCCGAAGAGAAGATTCCAGTTACAATGTCGTCGCTGCCGCATCAGTTTTATGACTTGCAATACTCGTCGCTAGACATTGACGCAGCGCTGCGAGCTTGGGCTGACTCCGATGTCTGACGTTTTCATATCTGGCTTTTGATTAGCATTATTCTGCGCAGGATCGAGCATGACGTTCTAGGTCATTCAACGTCGAAGAGACGGTCCGATGACCGGTTGGTCAGACGGAGTGGTAGCACTCAATACAGCTAGCGGATCAGTCAAAAAAACTATAAAAATGAGCTTGCGGAGCAGCTCCTAGGTACAGGCCAAGGAGAGGGAACTCGAGAGCTGTTCAAACGATACTTAATCTCTAAAGGAGGGGTATTAGTCACGTGTCCGTGTCTTCAAATTCGAATAATTGCAAGCCTGTCTTCTTCTTTAGTGTTTGTTCCGTTATTCTTCCACTTTGATCAACGTAAGTATTACAGATATATATGATAAGAAATTAGAGCTGGGAAAGTTGTCCGTGGGTTTCCTCTCAAACCATACGGCTCATCCTCTCAGCTTTGTTTATATATTTAAATAGTACAAGTAGCTGGCACATACGACCATAGCTCAAGGAAAATTGGGCATCCCGTCCGCTCTGCCATACACAAGCCTTGAAGCGGTGAATCAGTAGTTGGGTGGGTGACCACCAGCGAATCCTCACTGTTGTATGTTTTTTTTTTTTTTTTAGTGCGAATAATATATTATTAAGCGTGGGAATGTGCAAACGCCTACACTGTTAAGATCCCCCGAACTTTCCAGCTTTGATGAGAGCCACTGTCTGCGTTTTCTCATTACTCTCATTATTTTCTACATTTTGTGGGTCTTGTCTGCTGGTGGAGGCGAAGTGGGGGTTCAGGGGCTGCAAGCGAGTCGGGTACCCCACCCCTTTTTAGCCGTTCGAAATACTGAGAACATTGATTATATTTCTGCAAATCTGATGGCTTCAGCATCTTCTTGGTAAAGTCCTATGACTACATGTCTGTTATGTTCATACACTCCAGTCGATAGATCCCGGAATTCCATGAATTTGCCGAGAGCTTTTACCTCTCCATGCCCAGATGTCCGGATTGTTGCGCAAGGTGATGGACTTGAGCTTCTTGCAGTCATTTACAAGACTCTCGAAAATGCCTGATATAAACGCGTATTGTTCTAAGTCCCTTAATAAGGGGAAATACAGGTCTATACGCTAAAGCTTGTCTTTTATTTATATGATCCAATTTTTGCATAGTAGCCCATTCAGCAAGTTATGGTACTATGATTAAAGTTTGACTTAGGAAAAATAGAGCCATGTAGCCAATAACCTTTCTTGTTGCAGAATTACCTCAGAATTGTCTCCAAAGTTTCACCATCATATATATATTTGAATAAACAACGTCTTCTCATTGGACAGATGGCCGAGCTGGTAAGAAACATTCCACGTATTCAGCACACAACCTAAAATTTCATAGGTTATGGCGCTAGGTTAAGGTACTTAACAAAAATTTCCTAGTCACGAAAGTGGCGTGGGTTCGAGTCCCACTCTGTTCAGAATTCTCTTTTGCTGTTTATTTCGATCGATTTGGATTTGTGGTGGCCGAGAGGGAGTTTTTGTGTGGCGGCGGTCTAGGGTAGATTAAGCGAGGAGCCGGAGGAACATTATTCCTTGGCTGAGTGTGCATGGCTCCGTCTGTGCAAAATAAGCGACACACCAAAATATCATCATATTCCCTCAACATCAATAAATCACATTTAAATCAGTGTCAAATGGTTGAATTTACAATTCATATTGTGCTAGTAACCTGTAGTATGCCCCTTTGCCAATTGGACTGCTTTGAGCCTATCTGGCATCTCATCAACCCAGTTATTTATAGACTTTTGAGAGAGTCTATC